ACACACACACACACACACACACACACACACACACACACACACACACACACACACAAACACACACAGTGAAGCCAGATAAGAAGCAAATGAGAAGAAAGACAGAGCAAAGCGTAAAGCAATAAAACAGAGCCAGGAATGAGGAGCGGACACAAGGTGCATCTTTTAACATCTTTTACTCTTTCTAAGGCTGGGCCACAAATTAGGTTTTTAGCAGCAAATTTTGAAAGGAAGACATATGGCTCAGATTGATAATGCCCAAGGAGTATAAGCAAACCATTGCTCAAGAGAAACAAAACTATTCCAGATATTTAAGACCACAAAGAAATTCTTATATGGGATTTATGAACTTCAGTATTATTACTCTAAAATGATTGTGTAGTATACTGTATTTTCTTTAAATATAGGGCAGTGTGTACACTTCACTCTTTCTATCCTCTGAATATAAACCAGAAAGCTTTACTGGAGTATTATTCCTAGACCAAACTGGCAGAAGGCACTTTTGAATTAAAAAATATGTATTTTTTTTCTAAATCCATGAAAGTTGGCATGAGAGTGTTTTTAAATGCCTGAGTCTAGCTAGGTTTATAATTGGAAAGCCTTTCCTGGGTTTTAAAGTAGTTCCTTTTGCAAAGTTGTAGAATGGTTCAAAGTTGCATTCAGATGCCTTTATTACATAGAATTTACGATCAGTGTTATTTTTTAAGAAAAACAAAATGTAAAATCAAGGAAGGGAATCAACTTGCTCTTTGGACAATTCTTACCTTTGAGGAAGGAAATTACTCAGGAGACAAGTTCCTATCTGTCTTGGAATGAGTACCCAGTTAATCAGCAGGGATTCCTCCAGGTCATTATGGGGGTTGACTGAGGTTCTCTGAGTGATGTCTTGGGAATGCTGACGGCTTCAACACCAGATCTTTTGACAGTGGAGGAAGCTGTCTCAAAGCCAGATCTGGATGCTTTCCTTTTAGGGTAAACTTGTCTAACAAATTGTCCATTTGATATCATTGTCATAACAGAAATTATTAAGCAAACATTTCTTGTTGCATTAGTACAGTTTCAAAATACATGACTGCAAATGGAATTGTTACCCTTTCTCCAATTGGGTAGCCAATAATCTGTTTGTATTAAACCTTCAACTAAGAATCTCAACATTAAGCATATATATTTTCATCCGTCTTGATACTGTTTTCACCCACGGGTGTATTTGTTTTCTAATACTGAGAAACAAGCTCTCACAAACCTCACAGCTTAAAACGATACCTATTTACAGCTCTCAGTTCAGTAGGTCAGAAGTCTGGGACAGGCATGACTGGATTCCCTTCCCGGGGTCTTACAAAGCTGAAATCAAAGCGTCGGGGTAGAACTGCAGGCCTTCTGGAGCTTGGGCTCCTCCTAAGTTTGTTGCAGAATTCATTTCTTTGTAGTTGTAAGAATGAGGCCCCTGTTCTCTTGTTGGCCGTGGGCTGAGGCCGTTCACAGCAGTTAAAGACGGCCAGCATTTCCTTGCCCCATGGCTCCCTTAATATCCCCTCTCCTGCTTTCTGGAAGGGCCCAGCCCCTCTTAAAGCCTCTTCTTATTAGATCAGGCCCTCTATGATAATCTCTTTTGATTAACTCAAGGTCAGTTATTAGTAAGCTAATCAAAGAATGATAGCTCAGTCATATTCATAAGTTCTGCCTGCCCTTAGGGGAGAGAATTGTACTAGGAATGTAAGCAGGGGCAGGTGGGGACATCTTGGGGACTGTGTTAGAATTCTGCCTACCACATCCAGCAGATGCTTTAATTTCAGTTTTCATAAATGTGGGAAGCAGTGCTCAAGACAAAAGAGAAACAGTGGCCAATGTCAAGAGTTTCAGATATACTTCTCTAGCCAAAAGCACCATTCCTTCCATTTTCTTTGTCTTCCTGATGGGGTGACTTTAGGGCAGTTGTGTAGACTCTCATACTCTGTTACTAGGCATGAGAGACTGCCATGAGACTGATAAGCCATTATCATAAAACTGGAGTCACTGAGCCAGTGGCAGGGCTAACTGTATAAGAAATAAACATTGTGTTCTTCATGACTCTGCTCCACTGTATGAAAATCGGTTGAACTTCAGTTTCTGTTAATATGATCGAGGCTACAGAGCTCGATTAATTCCGTGACAGATCCCCTCTTTTTGAAAATTCATTTAAAATGTATAAGTCCAGGGCTTCCCTGGTGGCGCAGTGGTTGAGAGTCCGCCTGCCGATGCAGGGGACACGGGTTCGTGCCCCAGTCTGGGAAGATCCCACATGCCGCGGAGCGGCTGGGCCCGTGAGCCATGGCCGCTGAGCCTGCGCGTCCGGAGCCTGTGCTCCGCAACGGGAGGGGCCACAACAGTGAGAGGCCCGCGTACCATAAAAAAAAAAATTAATAAAAAAAAATAAAAATAAAAATAAAATGTATAAGTCCAAACCTTTTGTCTCTTTGTGCTGTTTTTAGAGTTTAGTAAAGATGACGTCTAAAGTTTCTGTGTTTACACAGTATATGTTAATTTTACTACCTTGGATATGGTCTCATGAGATAGAGAGACGTGGGGACTAGACTACAGTAAACACAACTTTACAACTGGTTGAATGCCCAAGGGGTGAATACTCAGGGCATCTTAATGGAGTCTTCTGGAACATTGCTCCTCTACCCTTCTGCTTTCCCAGGTTTGGGGCATTGTTACAATTTGTCTTCCTCAACTATTGATGGAGAAAATCACTTCTTCTTTCAGTAGAGCCATCAGTATTCCTTGTTGCATCTGTTATTTGTCCCAGGGCTGCTCCATCTCCCATTCTGTATCCATCCTAACCACCTTTCCTTTGGTCTCAGGAGGTGACTCGTCCTGTTTTCTCATCCTCCCAGCTGGGCCTTTGCCTCTCTCCCTTTCTTGCTTTTTTCTAAGTCTTTTACTTATAGCCAGTCTTGTCCCTTCCCTGTGTCTTCAACCATTGCCTCTCCACTGGGTTCTGGAGGTGAATTTCTATTTATCATCTTCATTTGCTAGAACTGTTTTAGGAATCCCTCTCTTGCCCTGTCAAGGAGCTAGTCTCCGTTTTTTCCTGCTTTTTTAAGATGAATTGTATACCAATAGCCTTTCTTCCTGTGCTTTGTTTTTCACCTAATGGTTCTGAACTTTTTTATGACTCGGTGTTATTAACTCTCACTTTTGAGGTTCCTTTAGAGTCCCCAAGACACAGGGAAACTTGTGGCATATTCTTAACCTACTCAGCTCATCTCAGTTCAAGAGTCTTTTCATTCCCTGTCCTTGGTGTACAGGATCACGTGGTCTTGGTTCCTTCCTGATGGCCTGCTCCCAACAGGCCGGGGAACCCAGGGAGAACTCCAACTACCACTCCCCTGACACAGCAGAGAGTGGCAGCGAGATCCCAGCTCATCATGCCTCCGCCTCCTCTGTCTTTCTCAGTGCTTCACTGAGCAAATCTCTTCTCCTTCTTTATTTTCTGTATTCCTTCCCTGCTTTTAAATTATTTCTAATTATCCTTTATAGGAATAACCCTGAATCTTCACATATTTGAAGTTTTGTGAAGTTGTAGAAAAGGTCACTGAAATAAATCTACTCCTGCCGGAATTCTCTGTGAGATGAGGGCTATCTGCCTGTCTGAATGTCCCTCTTTTTGACAGAGTTCATTCCCCGTGTGACTTGGTTTTGTGAGGGTAGAAGCAACTTTTGCAAAGTCTAAGGAGAAGGAAATGTATGTTTCTCAGGAATTTTCATGACTTTGAAGTAAAGATAAACCATTTCGGCAGCTTCATTGTTCCAGTACTGGCCAAATTATTAGTATCTTTTTACTCTGTTTTTAAAAAGGAAACAGGAAGAGCGAGTACAACAAGTGCGTAAGAAATTGGAGGAAGCACTGATGGCAGACATCTTGTCACGAGCTGCTGATACGGAGGAGATGGGCATTGAAGTGGACAGTGGAGATGAGGCCCAAGATTAGCATCAGGTAAAGCGACACCAGAGAGACGTGGAACTTAAGGTCTTCTTTTTCCTCGCTTTTGCCCTTGTAGCCTGATTCAGCAGTGCCCACAAAGCCTTCTCGTCTGCAAATCCTGTGCATGTGCTGTTGTTTGGCCCCCTCTATATTGAAGGACCATATAAGCGTGCATCCTTTTGTTCTCATTATGTGAAGATGTTCACACCCCTGCAGCCACTTGCAAGGGATCTGGTCTCCAAGGTGTCACTAGAGAAAAGCAGAAGGAGGAGGAAAGGACTCTGCCAGGGAGGGAGAAGCAGCTGCAGGAGAGGAAGGCGCCATCACCTCTACCACAGTAGCTCTCTGGGGTCTGTTGTCCCCTCTGTAAAATTATGGTCACAAAGTAGGCAAAAATCCCTCCTTTTTTCCCTCCGTTTCTGTTCTCTAGCACAGACGGTGCAGGGAGAATGAGAAGGACATTTTAAAGTATGATAAATAATTTACCTTAAAAAGTACAAATTATGAACCTGTCCTGAACTCACGTAGGAGTCTCACAGTCTCTGTTCCATCGGGTACATATTCTCTTCAGATGATTACACTCCAATATCCAAGGGTTTATGTGGCATCTTGCATCCCAAATTCTATCCTGCTTTGTTTTGGGGGCCATGTCTTTCTGCCACCCCCAAGCCAATTATTTATTTGCATCCTCTGAAGGCAAAACTGAGCCGTGGGTGGTGGTGTTGGGAGGGAAGGAGGAAGGGATGGGCCGAGAAGCAGAGCGAGCGGAGCAAGTGGGAGTCTCATCCCGTGGTGCCCTTCGAGCCCGTCTCTGCCCCTCACACCTCGTCCTCATAGTCGGTCCTGCATTCAGTGCTGGGTCCTGGGGACACCCCCACGCTCACAGAGCTTACCATATAGTTGTATGAAACAAATGCTCACATAGCTGTATGATCACCAATGAAGGTGCTGGGAGAGCCGCTGGCAGGGGAGCTAACGCGATGCGAGGGCCAACAAGAATTTGGGGATGTGGCATTTACGGTGAGCCTGAAAGGCAGGTAGGAGTGAGCAGGAGAAGTTAGGGGGAAACAGTTCTCATCCAAAGAAATAGCAGGGACAACCCAGTTCCTTTAAAGGACCAAAGGAAAGGTCACTGTGGTTGGAATGTAGGAAGTCTGGGGAGGGTTAGAAAGTGTGGAGATGAATCAAATCATGGTGAGCCTTGTGGATTCTTGTTAAGGATTTTGAGCTTTATCATTAAAACCACTGGGAATCCACTGAAGGCTGCATAAAGTGATTAGATGTGCTTATTTATAAGATCCCTACGGCTGCTGCATGAAAAAGGATGTCCTTTCTAAGGAAAGCTTAGTAGCAGGGAGACCAGTTAGGAGGCTGCCGTAGTCCCACAAGAGGTGATGGTGGCTTCACGAGGGTCTCGGCAGCGGATGTGGAGAAAAAGAGGAAAAGGCCAATTTGAGATGTATTTGGAGGTAGAATCGACTTGACTGGGTGGGTGACTGTTAGTGAGGGTGAGAGAGTGGGATGAATGGCTCCAGGTGTTTTACTGGAGCCACTGGGTGGATGGGGAGGGGTCCTGTTTAGAGGGTCATACTGAGGGTGTTGCATGCAGGGGGGATGAATTCATTGTTAACACAATCTTTCCTTCCCATCAGTGCTTTGTCTTAATTCAGGGAGTGGCCCATGCCACAGTGACACAGATCAGGTAATAATCACAGTGTCTTCCATTTACATAGTCAGGGACAGCAGCAACATTTCGGTCACACAGTTTCCTGACCACGCAGAACCTTTTAAATCGAGTTCAGTGCTATTTTAAGTGGTTTTGTTTTGTTTTCTATATTGAGGACAGGAAGATGCCGTGTTGACACTGAATCTTGTTTTCCACTCCGATCAGGATGTGTTTTATGGACTTTGATGAGCGTACTTAATGTGTGTAAAGTCTCTCAGAGGCAAGTCTGCAGCGTGTTTCTTTTCTCCAGAGACTTCAGTGCAGTGTGGGAATCTGGACCATTGCGCCTGCACCGCATCAGAACCGACTCTGGGAAAGCCCTCTTCTTCTCCAGAGCTTTTTGTTGTTTTTCAGACTTTTTTCCTGAAAACAATTTAGAATAATCAAGGGTCATGTAGCTGAGGTTTTATGAGACACTCACTTACTTTGCAGATTACTTTGCAGGTTGACGTCAGGGCAGCACCCTAATCTATGTAAGCGAGCCTGTGGTTAATGCACGAATAAACTAATTAAAGTTGAGGGATTAAAGTTTTAATATGTACTTAAAGAGTAGCCATCACTTTGGCGTGGTGCTAGGGAGAGATCTGCGTTACGTGTATCATATTCTAAACTTGAGAATGGTATTATTAGACCAGGCCGTTAGACTTGTAGGTTATGGAAGATTTAGATGTACTTCTTAATTATCAAAATTAAATTTACCTAAATCACCAATTTAGCCCCACGTACACCTAAAGTGTTTAATAAACCAGAGCACTGCCACATGACTTAATTAGGTGTTCATAATAACCTGTGGAATAGGTAGGACTTAGCTTGACTAAAGGTGGGACATGGTCAAGTTCACATGGCTGCCAAGAGATGGAACCTGTAACATGCGGTTCTGTTTAGGTCTGCTCACCGCATTATGACATGGGTGCTCTTTCTGACGGTCCTTATTAGCAAAATGGACCTTAATTTGTATGTATATATATATATTTGGCAGGCGCAGAGTTTAGGAAGCTGTCAGCAGAGGTGTAACTCCAAGTTTCGTGCAGTCGCAAGGAGAGATTTCAGCTCTGCTTCCTTAGTCACACAGCCCCTGGGGCTCAGTTGTGGTTTCAGCCCACCTCTGCGTGTGTTCCTCCCGCCAGAATCTGCTCCAGAGATTGCCAGAACACATGAGCCTGTCAGGGAGGATGGAGCTGAGGCTGTTATTGGTCGGGGCGAGCAGGCGTGTGTGCGTGCGTGTGCGTGCGTGCACCCATGTGTGTGTGTGTGTGTGTGTGTACACACACCGTCAATAGCAGGTTGAGGTTTGCTGTGTTACTTAAGATTTTACACCCAAGAGGAGTGCCCAGGTTATCAAACATTTTAGGAGTGCCTGCAAGAAGAAGAAAACTATAAGAACAAAAGTATTAAAACATTTAGCTATAAATGAGCTGGAGTATCAAATACATAAGCAGTTGAATTGGCAGTTGCACAGTACCATTTCACCCAAGTTAAGCAGTAATAGAACTTCAGTACATTTCTATCATCTGTAAATTCTGAGAAGTAAAATAAATTATTGTGAAATAAAATAAATCATTGTTAGAAATTTTCCTAAAAAGGTATGTTTGGATTTGGCTACGTCTGTTATGTTTTCTTCATTTGTATGCTCTGTGATTTCTCTTTTTATGCTGATTTAATTAATGATAGAAAATATTTTCATAAGCATACAGAGGGATACATATGATTTATTTGAAAATGAAGTGAGTATTAAGGGTTATTTTCAAAATAAAACACTTGAAACAATGAAGGGAAATGTTGAGCACTTTTTATGTACAAAGTGCTGTAACTAAATGGTATCAGGCTCTAAAAATCCTATTCTAAGTGAAATTTGGCCTCTAACTGCTTTTCCACGTTTTGCTGACCTCACCTGAGAAATCACTGAATTACTTAAGTTTGTTTGTTTTTTCTTACAGGTAACTTTCGACCGACTTTCCCCAAGAAAAAATTCCTAGAATTGAACAAAAACGTTTCCACTGGGTTTCGCCTGTAAGAAAAAAATGCACCCGAGCACATAGAGCTTTTTAATAGCACTAACCAATGCCTTTTTAGATGTATTTTTGATGTATATATCTATTATTCAAAAATGATGTTTATTTTGAGTCCCAGGACTTAAAATTAGCCTTTTGTAATATCTGTCAAGCAGGACCCTGAAGATGAAGCTGAGCTTTTCATGCCAGGTGCAATCTACTGGAAATGTAGCACTTAACGTGAAATATTCGTCTCCCCCGCAATTTTAATATGAACGGATCAGGAGTTACCAAATAAATTTCCCAATGAAAGCGTATTGTGACTTCACTGTATATAAACAGATTTTTATACTTTATTGAAAGAGGACACCTGTACATTCTTCCATCATCACTGTAAAGACAAATAAATGATTCTATTCACAGACTGATTGGAATTCTTTCTGTTAAGGAGCACACAATACATAGCCCCTCCTTAGGATTCCTGGTTCACATTCAACTGTGATCCCTGGGAATTAGGTTTGAAATGGAGGTAGTAGCAAATAGTTCATACATTTGCAGTATGCCTCTGGATATCATGAGAATTGCGCTGCTTTCACCAGAATTATAAGTTGTTGTGTAGCATGGGTAATTTTTTTCCCCTTGCCTGTAACGAGTACTTTTGTTAGTTCTATAAAAATAAGGCATTTTCTTCCCTTGGGCATGAGTTAGGTACACAGGTGCGCTTCAGATGTTACTGGAAGTCCGTGTCTGTTTTTCTAGAACATTTTACATTTTCCAGTGTCTACTGGCTTACAGAGTTAACAGGTGCAGGTCAGACCCTTTGCCACAAAGAGAGGCATTTTTCTGGGCAGAGTTGCTTAATGAACCAGATTGTAATACTCTGCTAATTACTACCCAGCCTCCAAAGTATTAACATCTTTTTTTCTGTTGAAACTCACAAGCGTTAACTTCATTACCAGTTAAATTCCTTGATATCTAATTACTAAAACTGGCATAGCATTGAGAAATGAGTTTTAAAAATCAAAACATACTTAAGGTAATCTGATGCCAAAGAAAGGAGGGAGTGGTTATAAGCAAATTTAAGTACATTTTGAGAAACAGAGCAAACATGTTTTCTTTCTGTACGAAGGGTTTATGCACTTCTTAACTCTGAGTTCTTTCAAGATCAGATGCAGAATGATGTGATCAAGGACCTGACCAAACCCCTCTAAATGTCACTTGTACATTTTTTTATCACTACCTCCAGCACCCTTCCGGTTTCCGAGGAGGGGAAAGAAAAGAAAACAGTGAAAGCAATATGACTGGCTAGGTTTGAGCTGCTGTCTCTCTGGACCTTATGCAAAACTACACAGATATCACCTTGGAATTCCTGATTTACGTTCAACTTTGATCTCTGGGCTTTAGGCCACCTATTTCCACAGAGCAATCCTGCAAATAAGCAGAGATACTTGCAGACTCTGGGAAGACAAGTGGCAGAGGGTGCCGGCTCCGGGCCCTTCCGACTGTCCCCGTTGGGGTGGCAGTGGGAAGTTAACAATAATATTGATTTCTTTTTAAGAGCTATTATGACTAGTTAGAATGAATGTCCAAAGGCTTTGCTTAGACTCCTCAAAGTTCACGAGTCTTCATTTGTAATCAAGCTTGGGGTAACTTCACCTTGGTGATCATATGTTCTTTTCACAAAGCAATCCAACCAAGATGTACATGCCTTTATAAACAAATTTTGTAAAATGAAAAACACACACGTACAAAACTTTGATTTTTGTCCTTATATACATTGCTCAGGTAAAGGACAAGGTTTGAAAGCCATTACATGGTGTCTAGCTGGGAACTATCCCATAAGTCCAGGTGTTCCCAGTATACCCGTGGGACATGTCCAAAAATAAATGCATCATCTTATCCCCCAAACCTACCACCATCTTGCATTCCCTAACTTGTGTAAAAGCAAATCATCTGATCCAGTTGCCCAAGGCAGAAGCCCAGGAGTGATCCCAGATGCCACTCTTCCCCTTGCCTCCAATAGCCCATCAATCCTGTTAGAATTGTTAACCACATTTCTCACACCTTCATCTACATCTCTTCTCCGTTCCTGCACCCACTGCCTCCTTTCCTCTCCTCTGCTCTTTCAGTGGCTTCCTTTTATTTTTCACCTGTCCCCTTCCCCTTCTCTCTCCATCCCTCGTTCTTCCCCTCCATGTAGTCATCAGAGTGGTCCTGGAAGCAAATGTGACCTTATCATTTCCCTGCTCGAAACTCCTCACTTCTCTGTGTATGCAGTTTAGAATCATGCTTAAGAAGGAGCACTTTGAAATGGAGAGAACCTGTGTCCGAACCCTGGTTTTGCCATTTGTGTGACTTGTCAGGTTACTTAATGTCTTTGAGCCTGTTCCTCCTCAGTAAAATAGGAATAATAATACCTACCTCATAGAGTCGTTGTGAGGACTAAAGGAGATACTGTTTGTCAAGTGTTAGCACAGTGCCTGGTGCATAGTGAGGGCTCCTGTTGGAGCGGGCGCTCTCGCTGTTATCTCTGCAGGTGTCATTTTATGTCACTTCCAAGAGGCATTCGCTGATAACCCTAACTACCCTCCACTTTATAAATACCCGCAATACTTTATTTTCTGCCTTGGCACTCTGTTTATTTCCTTTGTAGAAATCTTCTAAATCTGTATTTTATTTATTTGACTTTTTGTCTGTCTATCTACTAGAATGTAAGCTCCCTGAGGGCAAGGATGTGTCTGTCTTGTTCCCTGTTACAACCCCAACGCTTAGCTTAATGCTTGGCACACAGTGAGCACTCAATAAGTGCGTGTTGAATAAATGGACAAATGATCAAAAGCCTCTTCAAGATCTGATGCCTGCCTACTTGTCTAGCTCATCCTGCCACTGTCCCCGCTGCACCTTCGGCTCAAGAAAAACCACATCACCTGCTCCTTTGAAGTGCCCCTTGGGCCTCTGTGTCTTTGCACCTGTCGTTCCCTTTGCCTGCCTGTCTACATGGCCAATTCCTGAGCACTGGTCAAGTCACAACTCCCTCCTCTGAAGCTGTCCCTGGTTTCTCCAGGCAGATGTTCTTTTCCCCTCTTCCAAATTCCCACTGCACTTTGTCAATACCTCCACGGAAGCACTTTACTGTATTGTATTGTAAATTTGTTTGGATGTCTGTTTCTACTTTTAGACTGTAAGCACAGTGAAGGCAGAGATTGCATCTTTTCATCCTCATGTCCCCAGAGCCTAGCGCTGTGCCTGGCATATAACAGTTTGTCAATAAATACTTGTTGAATGAATTAGTGAACAAAGCGTCTTGCAGTTGGAAAAATCTTGCAAGACGTATGTATTATTACAGAAAGGGATGCCCCTGGCGGCTTCCGGGGTAGTTTTTTGTGCTAGAGAGGAGATCTAGAAAGCATTATGTAATCTCTTTGAATAGAAGATGACTTGTTTGAATTTCTAAAATAAGTTGAACAATATAGATCTTCATAAATGATTGCAAAAGATATCAAAAAGCTTTGTGATCCCTCAAATGCTACAAAATCCAAAATATTTGCACTATTAGTATTTCCATAGTAAATGCTATGCGAAAATGTACAGCAATAAATTTTGAAGCTTTAAAAATGTTTGTGTAAGTTATCTTCAATGACTTAATCTATGGAGAACATCTAAGACCTGTGTTTCCCAGACATAGGGGCTTCAGACTGGGGTTAGGGCCCCTAAGCTTTCAAGCTTATGCAGTGATACAGATTTCATTTGTTACTGAGACAAAGTGCTCAGTCATGCTGCTGGCATGTCCAGTGAACAGAAAGGTCTGGAAGGGTTCTCCACAGAATCAGGTGGCGGCCACACTTGACCTCGTGAGGCCATAGCCTCCGAACCTCCACTAAGACTGTCATAGCTCCCTTGTCCTGCCCGCCTTCACTGCTGGGATGCATATATGACCCCTATACGAAATCTACTTCTGTGGCTACCAAATCCACAGGTGGAGTCATCACATCAGTCAAAACAGCATTAGCTATGGGATTGCGAATTACAGCAGTGGCTTATCAAACCTGCATGTCTCAAAGGGTCTGGGGTGGGCTTTAAAATTTCCAGTTACATACTGATTTTTCCAGAAGGGCACATGTAAGTTACTCTGTCAATTATTTGGCTTTTGTTTTTATGACAGGAGGACACAAGTTTTTATTTCCTCTCATTTATATAGCATTTTATGATTTATAGAGCACGTTTACCTCCATGAATGTCATGTTTGAATTTCAAGCTACATATAAGCCATGTCATATACACATGCTATTACCCCCGTTTAAGAGTTGAGGAATCTAAGAAGCAGACAGGTTAAATGACTTACTTAAGCGGTAAGATACAGAGAGGGGCATTTGAATGCAGAGGTCTTCTGTTTCTAGAACGCCATGCAACCTTCCAACACTCCTCTTCACTCACATCGGAAGCTGCCATTCTCTCTGTGACAGAGAACAAAACAGTTTGGTTTATCAAGTACAGCGTGACTAGACTGAAAGCTTACACAGGGCAGAGTGACTATGGGAAACTTGGTTCTTTTCAGTCTGAATAGTCAAAGCTTTTCCACTGAATTCTTCTGCTGAGAAATCTTTACTAAGATTAATCTTTTATAAGAGGTGGGAAGAGGTGCAGCTTCTCAGTCGCAGAATGTTGGGAGTTATTTTTATCTGAGGGGGTTAGCATTTTCTTTCTGCTGTAGTACTTTCTATTTTTTGCTTCATGAGCTTGATGCTGTGAGAAGTCTGGCATCAAGATGCAACTGGACCGCAGGACCTGGGGAAGGGGCTGCAAAGTGGGGCACGTGCATCTAGGGCTTGTGTAAAAGCATTCAATGGGGGTGGGAATGTTACCGAACCAAACTTGGGTCTGCCCACTCGAGCGCAGTAAAGCCAATCTGACACTGGGTCTTGGTGAGGCAAAGTGCAGTGTTTATTGCAGGGTGCTAGACGAGGAGTCCAGGGCAGCTAGTGCTCAAAACAGGTAACAGGGCAGTGTCACAAGTGTTAACATTATCAATCCTTAGGTGCCAGTAGGTTTGGGGGCTACATGCTCATGAGCATCAAGTAGTTAATTTCTTCCATTTGGTGGTGGTTTTAGCATCTGAAAAACTCAGGAAATCTGCAGCAGATACTATTTTCTAGATACTTCAGAGAGGAGCTGCAGCCGAGGATATGGAGGAGGGGTCTGTCCCAGGAAAGCCCCAAAGGGTCCTGCTCAGTTACAGGAAAATATCTGACCTTTTAATATTTGTTTTCATCTCATCTCTTTGAGATTTTAAGAGTATTTAATTAAAGATATAATACATTAGGAGAGTAGTACATGTATATGATTTATGAGTAAATATCCATAAATTGGGGACATATACTTTTGTTTTTGAAAGGGCTTATTATTATTAAAAGGGCTTGTTATT